ACAATATCTGTATTTTTGGTGGAAATGTTAGGGGGTCGTCTTATACGCCCAGTTGTCTTATACGCCGGCAAATACGGTAGATACAGAGAACTTTTTGATGGATGCCAGATAGGAGGGGGGTTGGGAGATGGGTAAAAAAGGTGAAGGGATTAAGAAGTACAAATTGGTTGTTATGGAATAGTCATGGGGATGTAAAGTACAGCATAGTCGGTAATATTCTAATAACTGTGTATTGTGTGAGATTTATCAGGATGATCATTTAGTAAGTTATTTTTAATCACTGGGGTGTACACCTAAAACTAATATAATAATATGAATCAATTATAATTGAAAATTCAAAATGATTTTTTTAAAAAGATTTGTTAGGCAGGACCAGACCATGTTTAGTCTAGAGACAAGACTCTTTTGAACACTCTTCCCATTTCATTTCCCCATGAATTTGGGAGGTTTTTCAGTCTGTCTGGTGGGAACATGCACTATTCCTGGCCCTATATGAGTGCTGAGTTCTGTGTCCTCTAACTTTTTGTGTGTTTCTTTCTTTAGCAACAATTTCTTCACATGCCTGCACTTATCAGTGCTCTGCTGAATTCTCAAAGACTGTCCTCTTCAGATCTCTGGAGTTCTCTCTCTGTGCAGATCTCACCTCTCAGATTGTATCCTGTGAACCTAGTTGCCTTGGTCTGCCCAGACAGTCAACTCCATCTCATCAGCTTAAGGAGTCTGTTGGGCTCTGCTTAGGTTCTGCTATGGCCTGGAACTAAAGCAGTAAGTTGGGCAATTATTTCTTGTTTCTCCAGTGATCACTCTCTTTTATTACCAGTATTCAGTATCTTGAAACCATTGTTTCATATTTGGCGGGTTTTTTGTTTGTTTGTTTTTGGTTATTTCAAGTGTGAGAGTAAATCTGGTCCCTGTTACTCCATCTGGGCTGTAAGAGAAAGTCTCTTTAGTCTGTTTTAGAGAGTAAGAATTGATGGCTTCTAAAGTTTTTTGCATCTCTGAGATCTTTGAGTTTGTATTCCACATCTTTAACAGCTTATTTTTTTGTCTCCACAGTATATCCCATTCTCTCCTCAGAACACTAACTATCTGCAGTTTATGTTTAGAAGTTTGCTTGGGATTAAATCTGTGCTATGAGTGAGCCGTATTTATGATACCAACACATTGCATAGAATGATGGCAATCGAAATATAACAGAAAAATGTATAAATACAATTCTGTGGAGATCATATATATGTACTAGTGGCCCAATGCACGAAATTCGTGCATGGGGGGGGGGGGGGAGTGTCCCTCAGCCTGGCCTGCACCCTCTCAAAAGCCGGGACAGCTGGCTCCTAACCACTCACCTACCTGCCTGCCTGATCACCCCTAACCCCTCTGCCTGCTGGCCTGATCGCCCCCAACTGCTCCCCTTCTGGCTGATCCCCCTAACTGCTCTCCCCTGCCATCCTGATCACCCCTATCTGCCTCTGCCTTGGCCCTGCCACCATGGCCTTGTCCGGAAGGATGTCCAGTCTAATTAGCATATTACCCTTTTATTAGTATAGATAGAGGCCTGGTGCACAGGTGGGGGCCGGCTGGTCTGCCCTGAAGGGGGTGCAGGATCAGGGTGGGGATCCCCTTGGGAGGCAGGGCTGGCCTGGGCGAGGGACTGGGGAGGTTTGCAGGCTGGCCACGCCCCCATCAGGATGAGGGGGGTCTCTGCAGGGGGGTATGACCAGCCTGGGCAAGGGGCTGAGGTCCATTTGGGGGTGGTTTGCAGGCCAGGCAAGCCCCAGGCTTTGTCTGGAAGGTCTCCCGGTCTAATTAGCATATTACTCTTTTATTAGTATAGATGATAACAACACAATCAGATCACTGTGTAAGGTTACTTTCTATAGAACCCCCTTTTTTTTCATTCACAGTTTCACCTTTTGGTAATAAATCAACATGATGAATGCATTGATGACTGACTTTTTGGTTAGATAGTGTGTTCTCACAGTGCTAGGAAGGCTCACTCTTAGGAAGTCTTAGTATTGACTTCATCTTGTTGACCACTGGGGACAGGGCAATACTGGGACCATATGATCTGAACTGAGGCCAAATTTTCCCCCAAAAGGAAAGGGCAGGTAAATGGAAGACAGGTCTTATGGCCTTCATTAGGAAAAAAACACTCTGGATCATTTCTGTTTTATGACTATCATGATCCAGGTTTTGCCTTCTGTCTCATTTTCCTGTATTTCACATCTAATATAACAATTACATAACTCGTGAAAAGAGTACTAACAGTTTTCTTATACATGCTCAGTAATCATAAACAGCTGAACTATGTAGAAAAATACAAAGAACAAATAACTTATTATGACAGTCAAACAAAATGGATTCTGAGTTCAGTGTCAATCCATAGGTATACAGGTTTGTCGATGTCTTGGGATAGCTGTATACTTCTGATGTCAGCAGTTTCTCACCCTAGAGGGCTTTGATGACTGTGGTAAGTGGAAGTGAGTATCAGAGATGGGTGAATGTCCATTTGTGGTTAGGCGCCTGATAAGGCCCCTTCTAATGGAGTTGGAGAGTATCTTTTATTTGATGTCCTTTTCAATAATCAAATTTTAAAGTCTTTGTCTCCTGGGAATTCACTGTGAAAGGACGCAGTTACCAACTTGGCATTGTCTTGAAATGACTCTATCAAATCTTGGTGATAGTGTAAGATGCCTCCTTTCAGTAATGTCAGCCCATAAGTTTCTTCATCTAAGTTCAGCTTAAATGCATTGTGATGCATGAAAGAATGCAAAAACTGGAAAATGGGGAACCAGGGAGCAGGGAAAAACCAAGCAGCTGTGTTGGGTTTTCCATAACCCTAACTCTTCATATTTTTTCCTCTGATTTTCCCTTGCAATTTACCATAAAAGACAAGTTTTTTGACATATTTCAGGGGCCTTTCTGGAACACTTTATTTCTGTCTATATTGAGACTTTTAACCCTTAAAACCTCCAATTTCTAATGAAAATATCAATTTCTAGTGGAAAGCATTCTTTTTTAAAAAAAATGTATTTTCATTTTTTACAGAGAGGAAAGGAGACTGATAGAGAGTTAGAAACATTGATGACAGAGAAACATCGATCAGCTGCCTCCTCCACACCCCCTACTGGGGATGTGCCTGCAACCAAGGTACATGCCCTTGACTGGAATCAAACCTGGGACCCTTCAGCCCACAGGCCAAACCTAGTCAGGGCTGGAAAGCATTCTTTAACTGGACATTTTATAACCTCTGAAAACATTTTATATAGACATAAAAGTCAGTTATTAACAATGACTTATTTTTGTAAAACCCAGGCAAAATAAAGACATGTTTTATTTAAAGCAATAAACTTAAGCAAGTTTTTATTTACTAAGGATTAACCTTAGATCATGTATACTTGAAAAGCATTTGAGTTAGTTTCTATATTTCTGAGAATTTTAAAATACTCAATTCTCGCAAGTGGTTGGCTTTAAATTCATTTTAACAGTACCATCCAGAGGTAGAAAATTATCTTACATTTATAACACACATGTATATAGACACAGACAGACACAAAGAGAGAACAGTTGAATCTAAATTCTGTTTAGGAGGCATTTACAATTCATATCTGTCCTTGACAAGTCAAGTTCCAAATGACCTTCTCCCTTTTAAAATAAGGACAGCCATTGATTGATTGATTGATTAAAATACATTTTTATTGATTTCAGAAAGGAAGGGAAAGGGAGAGATTGAAATACCAATGACGAGAGAGGATCATTGATCAGCTGTAAAGACAGCCATTTTTAATAACACAAAAAAATTGTGTTGACACCTAAACGACATCATAGGTGATCTATTTATTTATATATTCTTTTTGAAGATTCAAGAGACCAATTAAATATGATGTTTTTATTCACTCTGCCTAATTTTGTAGCCAGCTATTCCTAATTGTGCATGCAAATAATCCTTTATCAGAGGATCCTCATTTTGGCCATAGTTATAAATGGGAGGCTGACTGTGGTGGGCCTTATTGGCCTGGGTGGCATGATTTCCCAAGTTAATTTTGAGATCTGTAGAGTGTGAACAAAGCTCTAGGGAAAACATGCACATCTCCAGACAAGCTAATTGCAGTGGATATCTTTATAGGACTGCTTTATACCCTAGAGAAAGTTTTTTCTCTGGAAACCCCACAAAGATTCTTTGCCACCTAAGAATACTCAAACAAGGGACAGCAAGAGCTTATCAAATGCAGCAAAAATAGCGATGCTTTCCAAGGCAGGGCCCCTCTCTCAGGCCCCCCTCTCCCAGGGTGAACCCATTTCAAGGCTCTCTGTCCTCCCAGGGTCCTGCATGCTTCTCTGGGATTGGCTGCACTACCTCACTGGCACCTTCTCTGCCTCTCTGGATTCGGGTATGGAGCAACTGTTAATGGGTTGAGGAGCAAGTGTTCTTTCTTTCTCAGAGCTAAAGAGAGCTCAGTCTCTCATTTAATTAGCAAAGATTTTGTTCAGACTCTCAGTAAGCAATCCAATCAAAAAGCTGAAATTAAAAGCAGCAACCCACTTTTTTTCCCCTCTCCCCAGGTTATCTCAACCATTATCTACCTCAAAGATCTTCTAAAAACAGTCCAAATAAAATCATGGCCTGCTACTTAAAGCAAGGAGGCCCAGGATTCACCCAAGCTCACTTGATACAAAGTGGAGAGTCTTTGGGGTACAATGAGCCCTTGCTTTACCTACCGTATTTGCCGGCGTATAAGACGATTTTTTGGCCCTGAAAAATATGCCTCCAAGTGGGGGGTCGTCTTATACGCCAGGTACACTTCAGATAGACTGCCCATAGTGCTTGCCCCGTGCCATAGTGGCCTCCCGATGCCCGCCCACTTCATTCCACATACCGTTCAGGC